ACATTGATTTGCAAGAGTTGCATGTTCTTAAGGTATGTGATATCGTGCTCATTCATTATATTAATAATAACGAACATCATTTATTGTTTTATGAAAGATATAAAGAAAAACTGATGACATGTCATTTATTTATATTGTTTCAGGGACATCCACGTGAACGTTTAGCTGACCCTGTGACTGATTCGACAGTATGATCCACGTGGTTGTTTTGCTGACCCTGTGACCGATTCAATAGTATGATCCACGTGGACGTTTTGCTGACTCTGTGACCGATTCGACAGTATGATCCACATGAATGTTTTGCTGACCCTGTGACCGATTCGACAGTATGATCCACGTGGACGTTTAGCTGACTCTGTGACCGATTCGACAGTATGATCCACGTGGACGTTTAGCTGACTCTGTGACCGATTTGACAGTATGATCCACGTGAACGTTTAGCTGACTCTGTGACCGATTCGACAGTATGATCCACGTGGTTGTTTTGCTGACCCTGTGACCGATTCAACAGTATGATCCACGTGGACGTTTTGCTGACTCTGTGACCGATTCGACAGTATGATCCACATGAATGTTTTGCTGACCCTGTGACCGATTCGACAGTATGATCCACGTGGACGTTTAGCTGACTCTGTGACCGATTCGACAGTATGATCCACGTGGACGTTTAGCTGACTCTGTGACCGATTTGACAGTATGATCCACGTGAACGTTTAGCTGACTCTGTGACCGATTCGACAGTATGATCCACGTGGACGTTTAGCTGACTCTGTGACCGATTCGACAGTATGATCCACGTGAACGTTTAGCTGACTCTGTGACCGATTCGACAGTATGATCCACGTGAACGTTTTGCTGACCCTGTGACCTATTCGACAGTATGATCCACGTGGACGTTTTGCTGACCCTGTGACCGATTCGACAGCATGATCCACATGGACATTTTGCTGACCCTGTGACCGATTCAACAGTATGATCCATGTGGACGTTTTGCTGACTCTATGACCTATTCGACAGTATGATCCACATGGATGTTTTGCTGACCCTGTGACCAATTCAACAGTATGATCCACGTGGTTGTTTTGTTGACCCTGTGACCGATTCGACAGTATGATCCATGTGGACGTTTTGCTGACTCTATGACCTATTCGACAGTATGATCCACATGGATGTTTTGCTGACCCTGTGACCAATTCAACAGTATGATCCACGTGGTTGTTTTGCTGACCCTGTGACCGATTCGACAGTATGATCCTAGTTTTATTAGTGGTACACAAGATATCTGTGGAAAACCTATAAATTAGTTAATTTATGTAAATTAGGTAATTAGTAAGCTCAAAATTTAACCCTAAACTGAACATGTATATGGCTTATCCCTAAACATCTACAAGTCTATGTACCAAGTTTCATTGAATCTGATGTGTGGTTGAGATATTGGTGGAAATTTAAATATTGGCTAATTGATATGCAAATCAGGCAAATAATATGCATGGATTTCAATCGGAATTTTATCAGGTCTGAGTATTATCCTACAGTCTGTGTACCATGTTTCATTAAAATTTGTTGAATGGTACTTGAAAAACACAGGAAAATGTTTAAAATTGCCTAATTATTATGCTAATTGGATAATTAATTAATATGCATGGGATTTAAACCAAAACTAATCAGTACTGCGCATTATCTATGTACCAAGTTCTATGGCTATCTGTCTAATGGTATACAAGAAACAGTGAAAATGTTTAAAATTGGCTAATTAATATGCAAATTAGGTAATAATATGCACGGATTTCAACCTAAAACTAATCATCCCAATTATCAGGTCAGATCATTGCCCCAGAGCATCTATGTATCAAGTTTCATTGAAATCTGTTTGAGAAACAAGTGAAAATGATTAAAATTGATAATTAATTTGTGCGGATTGCAACCAAAACCTAATCAGGTCTGAGCATTACCTCAGAGCAACTATGCTACATTTTCCTTAAAATCTGATTATTGGTTATTGAGATATCAATGGAACAGACACACACGGACACACATACATTGTACACACACCCCACAGATACACTAACCGCAAAGACTCCCATTGTGTGCTTCACACACGAGAGTCAAAATTGTAAAAATATAAATTAAATGTTTACCTAATATTTGTGATGATTACTATTTAGTGGTTTGGATTGAGGCAACTGATAAAATGAAGCAATTATGGACATATTTTGATAACTCAATTACTATTTCCCCATCCTTACTTCCCAAAATGAATGTTTTAGGCAGAAGGTTCTCCGAACCCGCCTATTCACATAGTTCATACCCACCATAGACTCCGGTCAGTCAAAATGACTATTTTGAACTGTAGGCATTAATCAGCGATTCTGCCGGTGACCGAGAGATAGAATCTAGGTCAGGGG